AATGGAGTGGGGGCAGCCAAGTTACTTGCATTTATTTGATTTTGATTAATCGTCAACGAAATTAAGCGGAATTCGTGGTTGAGGCCGTGGCTGTAGTTGCTCGCTAATGGAGTATCTTTTTGGGCTGGCAGGAAACTGCATTTACATATGCACAGAGATGCATATGTATCTGGCAGATACATATCATTTCACTTGCCCGGCCCCACAGCGAATTCCATGCCAATGTTTTGACAAACAGCAGCAGCTGCCGCCTACTCAGCATTCAGCATATCCGCATCTTCCCGGTGCAGAACGCAGAAGAGGAGTGTATAACTCGGATGGATGGATAGATGGATGGAGGACCAGAAGACCGGAGTACAGGAGGACGGACTGATTTGCCTCGCCTCGAACGTCATTTTCACGCGCCCTGTGCGAGGAACACATGTGTGCTCCACACGCTGGCGACAGATCGCATCGGCTGATCCACACTGCCTGCAAAACAGGATATGCGGACGCTGCACTCGAACCGCAGCAGAACAGCAAAGGCGAAAGACGAAGCTAAACAAACATCCCTCAATTGAATGGTGATATTTGATTAAGAATTAATGGAATAATCTGTAGTGAATCGCAGAGTGACAGCTCAGGGGGATTTGCTGCATGAAAAGATAAAGAAAGTTTTCAGACGCCTAACCCTTAAATTCAGAGAAGATATTTCAAAAAGTTATCAACATCATTTTATCTACATATATTTAGGTTCGATAACGAATAAGTTACATTTCCCATTTTTGTTGGTTGCTGTCAGATGTTTTAAAGCCTTTATTAGATCCATCTAATCAATCCAATGAATACATCCATTTAAATTTAAATTTAATTTTAAGTCTCATTGTACAACCTAATAAAGGAAATAAGTTCAGCAAATGTTCATTTGGTTTATCAATACATGACTAGACCTTTAAGACCCATCTCTATCGCATTTTTAAAAGCAAAAAAATACACATCATAACACATTTAATCTTTCGCTTGAATGAATAACCAAAAATAAGTGGCGATCCACGAAATATTTATTATGACATTGCATCATTCAATATAAAATATTTAAGAGCAGTATTCTCGTAATTATATGTGCTGTTCTAGCTTCTAAGAATTCTCTCGTTGATACGAGATACGAGCTTTTATTTCGTTATGCAATTTCCTCAGAACGAATCTGAAATTTCACGCTTCACTCTGCTAAAGTAATTCCCTCAATAAAGGAAGTGCAGCCACTCTCATATAAAGTGCCATTGTACTCTAACGTTGAGATTGACCAAGTAAATCAGGTTTTATATGAATTCCCTGCCAATTGCGATTCCGAGAACAATTCGTTAATCTTTCATCTGCTAATCGCATCTTAATGGGCCGCATTTCATTCCATTGTAATTATTTTATTCATATTGAAGATCATGAGCGGCTGTTCAAGTCAATGCCAGAGTAATCGCTGATTTGATACGAATCCACGTAGTAGGTATGGGACATGGCCATATTAATATTAGTGTGTCGAAGAGGCGACGGACGTCTAGTCGGGGTTTTTGTGCTGATCGGTCAGAACGCATCGCTCCGAAGGCCCGACAAATCAATGACCCGCATTTGCGTGTGCTTTCGGCCGGGGAAAATCGACAGGTTGGCATTTAAGTTAAATTAAAAATACGATTTCGCTGAGGAAGTGTGTGAAGAAAAGTGCAGGCCACAGCAAATAAATATAAAATATGTGTTCGACACGGGTACAGTTAATGTTTGGTTCACCATTTGTTTCTTTTGAAAGCCAGAGGCGACTGAAAACGCTAGGAAAACGCACTCAAAATGCAGCCACACACTCGTCGTAAAAAGAAACGTGCGCCTATGTACTTGACGTCCATACTATTAATTTTGTTATTGTGTTTTGCTTTGCGCTTATTATTATTGTAACTATTTTTGTTTGTTTACGCGAACAGGCGGCGGCAGACGACAAAATTGATAAGATTAGCTTGGAACTCGGGAACTACCAAACCTAGACCCTAAACAGTGGACTGCCGAACGGTCGGTCAAATACCTGGGAATTACTATTTACTGCCCCCCAGCCCAGACCCACACTTCCACGGTCTTATCAGCATACGTCTATACGTCTATACGGCTCTATATCAGTTGAAAAGCACAATTTGTTGGCCAGGCGATTCCACGAAACATTTCGAGGCGATACAAATGAACCGCATCGAGTGCTGCTTCGATTCCATCGCAATATACTGCCCATACAGAATCATGACAGCTCTGCACTTGGCACTTGGTGGAGGTGGAACCAAAACTGGGCCACTGTCCTTCGAAGCTTACTCTGTTTCAATCAAATGCCGACTGACTTTCCTTCAAAGATTTTTCGAGGAAAACTCGGCAACGGGACTTCAGTTTTTGGGCGTGGGTGTGCCTCTTTGTCTTTCGAGCTACACAATGCCCACATCAAAAGGTGTTTTTCTTATTTGTTGCGCTTTCGAGGGTTTTTATCTGTTGTCTGTTGTTTGGCATTTGTTGCGATTTGTCATGGGCGCAACCAAGTGACCAAAAGGAGCAGGAACGTCGAAGGGGACGAGAGCCACCCGTGGCGAATTTATTATTAACAGACCCAGACTGAGAATATGCTCAACTGCACAAATCAAATACAAAGGCAGAGAGATCTGCACCTGGACGGATGCCCAGACGATTATAAACCCCGGCGAAAATTGAAACAAACAAATAACAGTGGCCACTGGGATACAACTAATGTTTTAAACGACATAATAATATCTAACTAAATCATAAATTTTCAATTAATTTTTTACAGCGGTTTAGTAACTAATACTTTTAATAATGGATTAATTAATGGTGTGCGGCAATCAACAGTGGTTATAGTTTGAAAAATGTTTTATAATTGCACTATAAACTTTATGTCATTGCCATTGGCAGTTTTACAATCATCGAAAAACGAAGTAAATATTTTAATTTAAAAATTAACATTAAACCATAAGCAATAAGGTTTTATAAAACTGCTCAACTACTGTTTGATTGCATTGAAATTGAATTTATACGTATTTATAACGGTAATGGTTTTATTTAATTGCATAATCATAAAAAAATCATATAATTTGTGAAGTTTCATTAAGACTCTAATATTTTAAAAACTATTTTCTTTTTAGTTGCTTAAAATAATATTTATAACTGCTTGGTATTTTACGGCAAATCTATCAACAGACCGCTACTAAATAAGATTTCCGAGCGTCCACTGTATTTGAATATTATCAAAGTTATTAAAAGATCAACCAATGTGTTGCTCTAAGAGGATGAAAGGGATTATATCAGTGTGTATCTACCACGCGCGGTCATAAAATTCATTTGGCTGTCTAAGCCCAAATCAAATGCTCAGATGCATATCAAAGTAATCTAAGCAAATGAAATGAAATGACAACAAAGTTGGGCACACAAAAAGGCATAAAATATGTGCGTACAACACCCCAGAAATGCGATGGAGAAAGGGGAACCCATAAAATTGACAGCTGATCTTTTTTCTCTCCCTTTTTTTTTGATTTTGGTTTTTTTGGGTATCCACTCCTCCTGCAAGGGGTGCCCGGATTGTGGTTCTCTGTTCCTCTTCGTATTATTTGTTCGTTTTTCAATCTTTCGGCTCGGTTCTACCTGCTCAGGGTCATAAAAAATTAAGAAAAACATGCACAACTCCAGAGAGAAACGGAGAAACGTCGCATATTTTAAGCCGATGGAATCTCCTTGGGCTGGTCAGGAGACCCGAGCCCAGACACACTTGGCATAGAACCAGAGCCGAACAACAAAACGCAATTAGAAAACGAATTTCAATTGAAATCGGTAAGGGGAACGGAGGTCGCAGGACGGAGAGAAACCAACAGGATATGCCAAGAGATTTGTAATATGAGCACTGCATACTTATGAGACCATGATCATGCCGATGATAATGGCACTACTAGATGGTCATGTCCGCCGATCCACTGGCCGATAAGCGACGAGTCTCAGCCGCAGTGAAAGCTTCGGGGAAAATCTCTCAGAGAATCGCAACTAAAACTATAAATGGCCAAGAGGACCGGCTAAATGCCAATAAAGGAAACCAATGGAATTGTAAATACTCCTCTCTTACGAGCAAATAATTACAAAATATTAATTTTATAGAATAGAACTGGTAAAGTTACTAGTTTTATTATCATTTTAACTAAGCTTGTAGTTTCTTTAATAGCTTAGAAGATCACGATAAAAAGCAGGTTTGTATTTATTTAATAGTTTCAGCTGAAAACACTTTTCGAAAGGAGTTTTCATAGCTTCTTATTGTGGCATTATTTTGTTTTAAGTATTTATAAAAATAATAACATCCCAGTTTTAAGTAACTAACTTATGTTGGAAAATATTTTTAAATAAACAAAGTTATTAACAAATATTATGGTTACAATTCATGACTTGATATTAAATTAGCAGTTCTATAAATACTTTTTAGACAGAAACAAAATAACACGTAAATTAATTATCAGCTTGGTATTTTTATCTATCACAAAGACTCTTATCTCTGTCATACTAACATGATGTGATAATAAATATTTAAAAATTGAGTGGACCTTATCAAAGTGATATTGTTTGGGACATTAAAGTATTAAAAATATGAACCGTCATTGTCATATTTTTAGGAGAATTGGGTAAGCATGATATACCCTCTTATTTACAAATCCTTTTAAAATAACATTACTTAAAATATTTGCTAACTAACATGACATGATTAAAATAATGAAATAAAGACCATATCGAACTAATATTCTTAAGATCCAACTTGAGGGAACAAGTTTAGTTCTTTCTTTTAGATTTTCCCTAACCTTTAACCTTTTCTAACGTTATAACTAAAATCCATGCGAATACCATTCGAATTTCCACAAAACCAATATACCCCAATAGACCATTGAACAATGGTTTTCCCTCGTTTTCAAGGTGCACGAAAGAAAAAAGCAAAGAAATGTTATATTAATATTTACCATGAGCCTTCTTCTTTCTGGATTTCGGCGCCATGTCTGATGGCTACAACAACAGCAACGACGCTGATGATTTTTATACGGCGGCGGCTGCAATGCAACTTAGTTGTTGTTGCCTCGACCGATCGTCGTTCTTGCTGCCGCTCAGTTGTGTTGTTTTTGTTGGCCTTCCTTCTCTATATGGACGGGATCCCGGGTGTTTGGGGCCAGTTTCCCCTCAAATATCCCCGTGCCCCGTTTTATTTTCCTGGGCAGCAAAACAATAAACGCGAGGCATCAGCAACAGCAGCAACAAAAGCAAAACAAAAGCACCAGGAGAACTGGATTCGTTGTATCTCCAAGTCTCTTTGGGTTTTACTTATGGAGTCGGGAGTCGGGAGTCGGGGTCTTGAGTCTTGGGTTTTGTTTATAGGCAGGCGGCGGCGGTCAAGCCGGCGACACCATGGAGCCCGCGAGGAGGAAGAAAAAGAAGCAGTTGAAGAAGACGGAGATAGCGAGATGGGCGAAATTATGGGTTTCGCCAAAAACTTGATCCTGCGCTGCCGTCTCCTGTCTCTTTTCCGCCGTGCTTTTGCTTCTTGCTTGGTGTGAGCGCGTGATCACGTTGATTATAATTATATACGAAAGGTGGCAATACAAATCAGGTGAAACTCAATCCCCAAGTTTAGGAATATCCTGTGTTTAGTCGTTTTCTTTTATGTTTACACTATTATTGATTATTAGCACTTGCACTAGCTTAGAGAAATTTCTATCGAAATTTCTAAGATAAATTCTATTTCAAATCTTTAACCGTTTAAGGCCTTTAAAACACTTTTATTTTGTTTTTGTTAGTTAACAATATATCTGATTAGGGCACAGGTATTTTGAAAAACAAACCAAAAATATTTGTTGTTAATGAGAGACGAGGCGCGCGAAAAAAATCGACGATTTCTGGATTGTATCTCAAATATTGTTTTGTTCAACGAATCCGATGGATACGTCACGACTCGCGGAGAACGTATCTACGAATGTGCAACAGGCCAAAACGCCGCAGCTAGTAGACCCAAAAAAAGAGCTGGCTCTCTGAAATCAAAGAGAGTAAAAATCAAAATACCGCGAGAGCCCAGCCGAAAACGCGTGAGTTTGCCGCTGGGCGGTTAAAAACGCGCCGACCAGCCACTTCTCTGCGTTTAAAAACGCGCGAGAGTTCAAGATACTTTTTGCTTACTCTCTCCGCTCTCTCTATAGCTCTCTTCCGTTTGCATTTGTTCTTGTTTTGCCAGCATACTCTCACTTGAATTTCAAGTTTTTTCATGCTAAGGTGTGTGCGTGTGTATCTTGATCTTTGAGTTAGCATCGTTGTTGTTGTTATTGTTTTTGTTCGTGCTCGTATTTCTTTAGCTGCTTATTATAACTGACATATCTAGATGTTGGATATATCTTGGGGGGAAATATCGGGAGAATCGGTTAAAGACGCAGGGGAATCGAGTGCACATAATTGCACAGGCCCTTCTGCATGCACATATGCAGCAGGAATAATAACAGTTTTGGTCGAATTTGTTACTGGCCAAACGTGTGATTAGCAGCAACACCATTGCCAACTAATAGTACGACGCCTCCTGTTCTCCCGAGCGCATCCATGAGATAGTATTCCCCCCGACAATTGCATTGCATCCCCGAGATATCATTTTTCCAGCCTCTGCGGAGTCATTAGCCGCACAGTAGTCGCTGCTAATTATGGCCAAGATTCTGAGGTTTACCATTCTTTTACCTGTCGTGAACGCTTAGCACTTCGGCTTTCTTCAGGTAACTCCTGGCATTAAAAATGCATTTGAACCAACGGACGACCTCTGTGATCCGCGCATAACTTGCTCCTTTTGTTTATAGCCCCCGATAACACCAGGCAGAATCATTTGGCCCCGAACTTTAACATCCACCTCGCTCGCCATATTATTATGCTGTTATTCAAAAAAATAGAAAACTTGTGGGCCAACACTTAAAAAAATGACAAGAATTCTAATAAAAATATTACGATAAGTGCTGATTAAAAATAAATACCTAACATTCTTTTTATAAACAAAGTTCTATATTCAACCCCCTTCTTTTCTATTAATGATTATGATTTAAACTATTTTTAATTAATATAATGAAATACCTAAAAATGTATTTAAAAAAAAACTGTACTGATTTTTACCATTATTTTAATAAATTGAAATTAAAATTTTTCTTCGTGCATTTCCACTTCAATTCCAGTGCTGATCTTTCGTTTATTATCACGCCCGCGGCCATAATTCATTTCGATCTGGTTCGGGTTCTGCTCTGCTTTTGTCTAGTCAAAATCTCTGGATGATGCCCCCAGCCCCAGCTACAGCTACAGCTCCAGCTCCCTAAATGCCCGGATTGTGGATGCGGCTGCTGGTGCTGCCTCCGAGGTGTGATTTCTCAAGTGTAGGAGTCATGCGGTGCACAGCCAGACGCTGAGATGCTGCACCAGAGAATCGGAGAAAGGGAGATGGGGAGAAGGGAACTGAGACAGATAGATTGAGAAGGAGAGACAGAGAGGGAGTCTTTCGAAGGGACTTGGTTGGAATCGGCCAGAGGGCAACTGTTCGTGTACCCCTTTTCAGAAGGAGCCAGAAAATCAAGTTGGATCTGGGGATGCCATCAATTGAGTTTAATGGGTAGCAGCATACCATTTAATGTTAATTCGTTAGAGGAATTAAAAGAGTGCAGTTTAAGAGGTTATTTTTTAGTTAAATATGTTTTTACATATTTCTTGTGAGCTTGGATAAGCGTTATCTTTGAAAAATGTAACAGTTTTCCGTTTCCAATCTATAATATGTCATTCTGACTATGATTAATACCGTTCATTTAATTTTAATTTCAAATGTCGATTGTGCATTGCTTCCTTCTTGTTTCTGGAGATAAGTCTTTGAAAAAAAAACACAAGTATATCAGCAATAAAGTCAAACAATATGGTTCCAAGAATTTTGCGAAACAATAAAAAGCTAATTTAGAGCTAAAAGGCTTGATTTACGATTGAGCAGGTTTCTTAAAATATAATACCGAAAGAAACTTCGCTTATTGTAAAATCATTAACTTTTTTCTGGTCTGCCAAGCTTGAGAAATGGATAGTTTGAAGTAAAGTAAAATGTGCAGAGTCCATGACTTATGTGGATCCCAATTGATTAGAGGCAGAATTCTGAAAGTTTCTCTAGCGCGAAATTTGTGAGCGATTCGTGCTAATTCGCGCAATAGGGGATCGAGATGGACGCTAAGATATGCTGCAATGCCCAATTAGCACCTGTGCTAAAAAGCCTTTGGCCGAGACTTCGATTTGTTCGTTCCATTAGCACTGCACTGTGCTCTCAAATTTGTGTGCTTAGTGCTTGCGAGGAGATGGGGGGGCTAAGGTTGATTCTAACCATGTATGTATATTTATTTTGGGCTCTACACAATAGAAAATCCATGTTGGATTTTCGAGTATTTCGTGTGAAAAGCGTAGGAGGGCGGGGGGAACACTACTCGATCCGTACAATAAACACAAAACGGGGCCGACACTCCCTGGGAAAAGGCCAGACAAACTGGCGGGCCGAATGTATCTGTATCTGTAACGAATCTGAATCTTTCGAATTATTGTTAGAACTGAACATTAGATACACAAAGATGCAGAGAGGAAACCCTCAGGTCACTGCAACATGGCCAACAGATGTGCGCAACAGGCTCCCAATCAACGAAATCACCAGAAATCAGACAAAAGCCGAAGGTCTCGGGAAAGGTCCAAGATGTCACTTGGAGTGTGGCTGGGCCCTAAATCAAAGTCATGCAATGCTACCCGATTGTTCTCTGGCTTTTTCTCTTTTTTTGTTTTCGTTGTCTTTTGGTCGGTAGCTCTGTCCAGGCATCTCACGGATACCAGTCTGTTGGATCTGTATCTGCAGCATGGAAATTTTCGTATTGTACCAGAAATTTGTGTCAACGTGGGCGACACTTTATTGTGTGCCCGTGTTGTTGGGTGTGTGTAAAAATAAACCAAAGACATTTCATGTTGTCAGCAACATGTGGAAAAATGCTCGGAATTCGTTCCATTCTTGCACACTTTTGCAATGAATTAAAATCTGATAGATACACACACACAAGAAAAGCCGAAAAGCTGAAAAGCAGATCAGCCTGGCAGCTCTTCATTAACACCACAAAATCCTCTTCATCAAAAACTGAAGTGCAATTAACCAGGCACCAAGTCATTTTCGTTTCTACAACAGGTTCGTTTCGGTTTTGGTTCTTTTTCTCCTCTCTGCTGCACTTCACGTGTCCAAGGTGAGGTGTTAAAGTTTTATGGAATTTCAACAACGATAAATTATAATTACACGCAGTGCTGGGCATAAATCTACCCACACACACTTGGCTATGAAGCACACAGATACTCCTCTGCCGCGTTGCGAGTTCGTCAAACATAATTTGTAAACGCATTAAGCATTCCCCCCATTAACACCTTTTGAGGGTGACTGCAGCCTATCGGATCTATTAATATATATTTTCAAACAGAACCTAATGCCAAGCGAATCGCTAAAGGGACGGAAAGCAACTGGAATCTAACGAGAATCGTATGCCGCATTTGGCAAGCGTCCTCGATAGTATAGTGGTCAGTATCCCCGCCTGTCACGCGGGAGACCGGGGTTCAATTCCCCGTCGGGGAGATGTGAAAGCATTTCTTTTTTTTTGCCTTTAATAAATTGATTTTATTTTCCATAACGCTTTTTAAAAGAGAGTATCAGTTTAAAGAAATAGTTTAATGCAATTGAAAAGAAATGATTTCTTATTTTATTTTTGAATGTCCAAACTATATGCTCATATAATAAATTAAAATTTAAATACTACTAGTAAATTACGAGTCGTAATATATTACTCATTGGACTTATTTACAAAGTTATGTTTCAAATAATAATACAAATTCGTTAATTTGCAGAGTTTGTTTACCTTTCTAGCAAACTTGTGGTAACTAAAATATAAAAACACGGTAAAAAAAAATCCAAAGAAAATAAAAGAAAAAAATGTTTTCACATCTCTCCCCGACGGGGAATTGAACCCCGGTCTCCCGCGTGACAGGCGGGGATACTGACCACTATACTATCGAGGATGTTGAACTACGCTTGCCAAACTCGAAATATTTTATTGCTGGTGATCTTTGGTTCTACGACTTTTAGTTATTCTTGGATTTACAAGTCTGTTTAATATTTATGAGAGGAGTCGTAAGAGATAAAGCGATAAGATAAATATGTTTTCATAATCAACCCGAGATTATTTTAATTTCTTTTCATTTAGATGTTTTCGTTGTTGATATTAATTATCATAATTCCGAGGGAAAATATACATAAATTGTTCTTAGAGAGGATTTCCCATATTATGAAGTGCATAATTTGTACACCAAATTAAAATTTGAAAGGAAAATATATAATTGCAAGCAAAGTCTAGACTTTTTCCAGACTTACCATTTTCCATCGCCTTGCTTTTCTCGTCGTCGGCGTCTTCGTATCCCTCTGATCCTGGTCCAGATCCCATTTCCATGCCGCTCAAAGCGGCTGCGGCGATAGCTTCAACATCTGGCCTAACATTCGCACTGAATTCACCTACAAGGCAAATAGAAAACGGGCAATACGAAATATAAGTAAATTGAAAAACTGTGTAACTAATTTGTAAACAAAAAGGGAGAGCGGGTGGGAGTCTTTGCACTTGAGTTGCTCTTCTGTGGCGCCAGGCAAATGTCAATTAATAATTTAACAACAACAATTGCGCGTTTGTCGGGCGCCTGAAATACGAGATCTTAATTGAAAATAGAAATACAGAGAGGGAGACATTGGAGAAGAAAAGGGGAGAATGGACAACTTCAACTCTCTTCCTGCAGCGAGCGGATGAGCGTGGGCCAAGTAGACAGCTAAACGTGTGTCATAAACTTGGTCAAAAGGCTGCAAAATGTAGTGCCTTCCCAGGCTGCGATCAGAACCAGTTGCCAAGTAGTCAGAGTCATCTTTAA